ATTACCCTAGGAGAGGAGGATACTGCACTGTCATGGCTGGGTGGTCACAGATCATGTGATATCGAATCACCTGACTGCTGAACCCGTTAAGCGAGACTTGGCAGAAATCGGAATGCACACCAAAATTGCCCATCCTCACAACCACCCGAACAACATCGCAGCTTTTCGAGGTCGACAACTAATACGCCAAAATGGGTCGCGTTCGCACAAAGACCGTCAAGCGGTCCGCCAAGGTCATCATTGAGCGTTACTACCCTAAGCTCACCCTTGACTTCGAGGTCAACAAGAAGCTTTGCGATGAGGTGGCCATCATTGCCAGCAAGCGCCTGCGCAACAAGGTAAATCTCATCTACGGTGGACCACACGAGAATCATCGAGGCTGACGAAGAATTTTTCGATTAGATTGCCGGATACACCACTCACCTGTATGATTTCCCGTGTGCCTGAAATGACGAATATGGACTGGTCTCGAAAGAAAGAAAGAAGCACCCCCAACGACTAACCCGACTTTTTTCAACTTAATAGGATGAAGCGTATCCAGCGCGGCCCTGTTCGTGGTATCTCCTTCAAGCTCCAGGAGGAGGAGCGTGAGCGTAAGGATCAATACGTTCCTGAGGTCTCCGCTCTCGACTTCAGCCAGCACTCCGAGACTGGCAAGCTCGACGTTGACCAGGACACCAAGGATCTCCTTAAGAGCATTGGTGTATGTGATGGATCTCTCTTCTTCCTTCCGGATCCCGGATGATGGCGGCTAACGCAACCAACCACAGTTCGATGCTATCCCTACCAACGTCATCCAGGTTTCCCAGCAGCAGGTCTCCGACCGTCCCCGCCGCTTCGTCCGGTAAATAGTTAGTCGTGCAGGATGACGGATAAGGGAACACCAAAAAAATGACATGAAACGGTTGACATCCCTCAGGGAATGGTGGTGGTGACGATGCTACTTTCAAGGATGGGTAATGGCGTCAAAAGACTTCAGGAATAGTTACTTTGGGGAAATAGGTTCCGGGCATCTTTAGGATGAGAAATGATACGCCAGGCCTTTTCTCGCATTTCTGTCATGTTTTAGCAGTTCTGTAAATCGCTGAATTGCACCCCTGGGCAAAGAATGCTTCTTTTGTCACGATCAAGACATCTCGTGCCGCCACCATTCTCTTCGTGCTCTTAGAGATCCGGTCAATATGAGCCATTATCCACGAAGATAGTTGTTTTCCCATGTGTATGCTCTGTAGTTCGATTGAGACCGGTCTTGACGTCTCCGGTTGGCCTCAATGTGCCCAAATACGACTTATCCTTAGTGGTCAACGGTGCATCCGGAGCCGTGAATGCCATGTCGCCAGGACCTCTGATGGATGGCTATATCATGTACTATGTTGAATGAAGTGTGCTTTGCTAGTATTGTAAGGTATCTACTATTGTCATGATAAGCCACTATATGTGCATTAGGATTGGCCATGATTTGACCTGTTTCTGGTGAGTACTCATTGAGGTGTTATAATAACGAGGTACATCTCAGTTATATATAAATTGAACTATTCAGGCTTTCCTCATCACCATTGCCGGTAACCCCCTTCCAAATGCGAAACTCGATTCTTATATGCTATGAGTGTCTTAATTGAAAGATAAATCTTGTATATTTCATTTAATCCAAGATAATCTACTATAATTTCTAGTTACCAGCACCATTTCTTCTTGTCTTCTCCATGGCCTTCGATTCACACCTTACCTTATTCGGGTCTCGGCACGTGCCAAGCTTTTGTCGAGGAACATGTGACTACGCAGATCATGGTTACCTAAGCCACTCTACGATATGCTTCCTCTTGCCTGTATAATCTTCTGTGATTAATGATATTATTGTATTCATCTATGAACATCATACAACTAATGGTATATCTGACCGTTCAACCGTCAGGCGCGATATTATATGTTTTAGTCTCCTGCTCCTTGATTATAAGCGATTGATGCTTTAGACAGTCTGCGAGGGCGCATGGACGTTCTGTTCAACCACAAGTGGTTTTTTCAGTTCAACAGGAGTGTCTGCTTTAGGTTCGGACTGTATCTCCAAGGGAGTTATCTCAGGGGATAATGTGCCTTGTGGCTTGCTCTCTACCCCACCCGGTGTTGGGGTACGGCTTTGTGGTCGCTCCCTCTCTGCATTGACAGGTGTCGCTGTCGGCTCGTCGGGTATATTGATGATTGTTTCGGCAGGGAGCTGGGCGGGCAGCGAGACACTTGATTCTCCATGCAGTTCAGCCGGAAAATGACGAGCAGTTGGTTGAACTCCCTCCGGAGACAACTCCGCCGGTGATTGATTCTCTGGCCCTGTAGGCAACTCCAGGCCTCGAGGAGCCGGATCCAAACTTCGGGTGGTCGGCTCTGAAAGGGGATTCGCTACCCTTCTTTGGAATGAACTTGATTGGAGAAGCTGCAGGAGAGGCGTAGCCTCCGATGGTGGTGGTATCTCTCCGCTTAACAATTGACTCGCACTGACCTTGCACTTATAGAGTTTCTTGTTTGCGTGCCTTCGCTCCACCATCAAGCCCCCTTCAATGCTAACACCACCGAATAGCCCCTTAGTTTTGGAATAGGCGTACATCGATGCGATGCCCTCCATATTAGCACTGGTAGTGAATTCAGCGTTTCTTCCGACCGGCCCGAACGCAATCGAAATGTTCGCGCCCAAGGTCAAGCTTCCCATTCGTAAAAAGGAGCGAAGCCCAGCATCGTCGAGGATAAAGACAAAATCAGTCAATTCGAACCCCCATTGGCCACCGAATCCGACCCCGGCTAATGAAATCGCGGACGGGGCAGACCAGCTGCCATTGTCCAGTCTTGCGATGACTAGGCCGGAGCCGAAGCGGGCGGATCCTAGCATTCCAGCTTTGGCTACTGTGCATATCACCAGGCCCTGAACAAGAAATCAGAATCAATGTTCATCTATCACCCATGATTGTTTGCCTACCTTGGTATTGGCGAGCACTCTTTCCGGGAGCTCTTTCCCAGGGTTCCCGAAGTACGGTGCTGTTAAGAAGGATTCAAGAATCTGGCTTGCTTTCTTGCATTCGCCTAGTGCGATGTCAATTTATCGTCCAAATTACATAGTGACACTCGGCCAACGAAGGTACCTACTGCGCAAGGAGGCAGGTAGCGGGTTGTGCAATCCCCTCGGCATGTTAACGATGACTCTGGCCGCTACTTAGGGTATATTCAGTGTCCGTCTGAAAAACTCTAGGGGCGTGTGCGATAGGGACTGTCATATTAATGAGATGCATTCCTCACGAGGCAGAATCAAGGGGTCAGGCTAACGTCGCGTGTGTTCCCTAGTGTGAATATCGGCCATAGCCACTCGTATATCGTCTTGGCTTCGGCATCATCTCCACATTTCTAAACTGTTCAGGTTTAGCGCTTACGCCAAGATGCGAGCTAAATCCCTGGGTCTCGTCCTGCAATTTTCTTCATCCTGTTTTTCACCAGCGATAATCACAGATACTAACCGTGTCCATACGCTCTCTCAATTTTCTAATATATACATACAGTGGCAGATGCTGTCTACTTCAGCGCGTAAACACTCAACATATCCGCCCCCCTCCCTGCCTCGTATGAACGAGCTGGCTTTCGATATTGCAGCCTTCTAAACTGACCGGGTAGCTGTTGGACCTGATCGACCTCAGCCTCTTCCCCAATATTCTTGATTCCATCACCTCCCCGCGCCAGCAGATCCCAATGGACCCCATTGAGTCCCCAAGGCGGACCAGGCTGAGTCGGATCCTTGTACATGGGAAACTCTAGACAAACTAGGATTCCGTCAGGAGCCACTACCTGGCTGATGCGCGCTGCCCACTGCGGACGCATCTGCGGGTGCAAAGCACAAAGGAACTGCCCTAGTCAGTCTCATCCTCACAGTTACTCTCAAACAGGAATTTCTGAGATGTAAATACCGTATAATCGTAGACCAGATCGAACTTGATATCTCCACTGGCCGAGATCTGTCGCTCCCAGTCGGGTTTGAAAAAATCCCCCTGAACAAAACTAGCATTGCCCGGTGGCACTGGCCCCGTCCATCCCGACCCGAAGTTATACTCTTGAGGCCGTTGCATTTCGGACACCGCATACTTCTCCGCGGTGGATACACCGGTTGCTGATATCTCGAGCCCATAGGCATCGAAACCATGTAGGGCGAGCATGATTACGTCATAACCGCGTCCGCAGCCCTGATATTGTAGATGGGTTACTAAACTGCACGGAGAATATCAAGAGGACGAAGCTCATACAGGAACGAGTGCCTTCTTTCGCTGACCGTCTGGCTTTAAAGGTTGGAAGATAGCGTTATCCTTCTCTTGCTCGATCAGATCAATCAGTGCAGGGGAGGGTTTTCCCCGATCCCAGAGATCGCTCTCGTTTGAGTCCCAGAGGGAGGACCAGCCGGATCCGTGCTCTTCTAACGGCCTGAAGTAGTTAGTAATCTGAGCTATTGGAAATATTGTGAGAGTAGAATGTTCGCATACCGGTCATGAAAGTGGCCGATGAGTCGGCCTTGGACTACAGGTGTTGCAGGCTCTTGTGTGGGACTCATTGCAACTGAAAAAGGTAAAGGTAAGTTTCTTTAATAGAATATGTATTGAGTTTCTACGATCTGGCCTCGAATGGCTTTTTATACATACGTTCATGCGGGGTGGCATGAATAAGAAAGAGTCTATCAATTTGTTCTGGAGGGGAGTGTAAATGTGGGTCTTCTCTTGGCAAGCTTTATTTCGGCCACTGAATCGTGGCTGCGATCGCCGACGGCATCTCGGCGTTTGAAAGATGCATACCTAACGCCTATACTGGCCCTCGCAAAATATAAGCTCTTCCCATGCAACCAGCTTGGGACTGTTACCACCAACCTCTTCAGCCGCTACAACCTATAGCAGAACCCTCACTATGATACGACCGGTCTTGAAGTGAAAACAAATGCTATTGCGATATGCTTTATTCAACGCGAAACGCTCTCATTCATTCCCCTATGCTGCCACCTGTAACACCGCACGACCGGCCACCTGACCAGCCTTCAGCTTCTCGATCCACGAATCCAAGTCTTCCAACTTCCCCTTTGACAGAATTGGCTGTTTCCGACTTAGCATGAATAACCCCGAACTTGCGCCGTAGGAGAAACTTACATGTACAATGCCCCGCGCCGTAAAATCAAGCGCCTCCTCTACATCTTTCAAACTCCCAGTGATGTTACCGACAATATTTAATCGTCTCAAAGCCATCACGAGCGGTGGTGCGCCTGCTAGAATGGAAGGATCATTAGGGAGACCAACCACCACCATTGTGCCTCCGGGCCGGAGGTACATGGGCGCCCATTCGTAGACGGTCTTGCTAGCCGCCGTCACGACCACGCCGTGTGCGCCGTGCTTCGTGATCCTCATGACCTCATCCTTCAGGTCCGCAGGGGCTTTGAAGCTCTGGAAATCAATGTATGCTTCGGCTCCGAGCTTCTCACAAAGGTCCCGCTTCTCGTCTCCGCCATCAATAGCGAGGACCCGCATGCCCATTGCGCGCGCATATTGGATAGCCAGATGACCTAGTCCACCTCCAGCACCGGGAAGCACAAGCCATTGACCAGATTTGACGGCAGACCTAAAGCAAAAGCATCCCGTCAGCTCCCACATATCCAACAAAGAGCAACCGAATGGAAACACATACCTCTTACAAGCCGTATAAGCAGTGACACCCCCACACATAATCGGACCGGCTTCCTCATCCGAAACCCCATCCGGTATCTTCGACGTATACCTCCCATCAACAAGACAATACTCTTGGAACGTCCCCGGGGCTGAAAACCCACTGTTAATCTGCTTCTCACAATGCACCTCATCGACTCCATTGAGGCAAAACTCGCATTCCCCACAGGTACTCGCGATCCACTTAATGCCCGCCCGATCTCCGACCTTCCACCGCTTCTGCATGCCCTCACCGACGGCGACGACAATGCCGGCCCCTTCGTGTCCCGCGATCCCCTGGCTCTGGGGCAGCATGTTCACCCCGAAATCCTTCCAGTCGTCGTGCAGGAGGGACTTGTCTGAGCCGCAGACTCCAGTCCAGTTGATCTTTACCAGGATCTGGCCCGGCCCGGGTTGCGGGACGTCGATGTTCTCGATGGTCGTTGTGGCGGATTCGCCTGTGCCCTGACGGACGGCGGCTCGTTGGCGTGTTGGGATAGCTGGGATTGTCATTGTGATGGTAGTGTTTGGTTCAACATACAACATACAACATAAAAAGTTATGTAAAACGGGATATACAACGCAATTCGCACTTAATGTTATTGTTCAACAACAAAATAATAGAAAAAGAAAGAAAACAACTCGTCAGCAACAGTAGCAGAGGTAGTAAAAATGAGGGGTACTCTCACCACAACCCCAGCTATAAATACTCAACTCCGCACCGCACACGTGAGACAACTCTGCATACCCATCGACAGGGATACTGATAATGACGCCGTACTCTATCCATAGAGATCGCTATGTATGCGGGGAACCCCGGACTTTAATATAGCACCTAATTAACCTCCACCAAACGGTGATCCACTTGGTTTGCATTTCATCCAATCCCGTTCGCCGGTGACCTAGTATAGTACTGTTGTGGCGTCATCGGGCGTCTGTTTCTCCGCACGGGGATCTTAGCGAGCTTTCTTATCGAAATTGGAAGTTTGGGATTGGTTAGGAATGGGCTTGGGCTTGGGCTATTTTCTGGGGTTCTGTGCTTTGACGTAGATTAGGGTTGGGGTTGTGAATTGTGCCGAGGTGTGTTTAGTTTAGTTTTGGGGGCTGGGGTTGGGTTAGAAGGTTGTGGGGGAGGGTGGCTAGGTATTTGATCACCCCATTAACTTACAGACAGAATGATTAGATAAATGTAGGGATGTGGTGCACGAAGAGATATTTGGTCAGTCCCAATATGCTTCCTATACAAGGTTACATAACGGACTCTTCCAAGTTTCAGTCCGCTTCAAGTATGTACTATGACCAAACAAACATCAGAGCCCACAACCACACGCCAGAGGAACTTTTTCGGCTGCATAGCTAGACATTTCAATAGTTAGGCTCTAACAGGTTAATATAATTTTGATTTAATTGAACCACAAACCAGACCGGCAATCCAATATAGCATTATGCAATAGTCCTTAACCATCATCGGGAACAAGATAAGTGAAGTCATACCGAACCTTAACTGGACATTTCCCTGATCGAGATAATTTATCGCCATCACCCAAACAATTTAATGCAAGTATTATAGTGCTCGATCCAGACCCTCGGGACACAGGTTTAGTTCAACCTATCCTGATAGAACCTGGATTTTACCATGCATGGATCCACTGTCCTATTTATTATTCATCCACCTTAATTTGTAAAACAGGACAGCGTATGGCCATGTCTAGATAATTACATCGCATGACGCTATATCCCTCTGTATTACATTGGCCAGTAACATGGACAGCCAACTATGTGGTTTGATGTTATGGAGTATATGGTTGTTTGCCTTATGCAGGTTTTGAGGGAGAGCTGGGCCTGGAGCCATTTGGCACTGGGTTGGCCAACTTGCGAATAGCGTTCTAGGTGCTGGGGTGTTGATTATAAATTTGCTGTATCTATATCGCCCTTAGGGTGTAAAGAGTTATTGATTTTGACCCATTCATTAGATTCTATATTCAGGCTAAACATAATTGATAATGGATTGCCAGGACGTGATCCCCTCGGCTTTCGTACCCCAGCGGTTGAAGGTAGTGGTTATCGGGGCAGGGTTCGTCTATCCACCACACCATTGTGTTAATCTTATACTAATGAAGCAGTATATCTGGAATCCAATTCGCCCATGAAGTGACGACACGAATGTCCGATATCGAGCTCGAAATCTACGAAAAGAACCCTAAAGTAGGCGGAACTTGGTACGAGAATCGATATCCAGGGTATGTAGCCTCCCACACCACATGCGTGATTAGATGAAAATACAAACAAATAAATAAATAACAATATCTACTCACAAACCAGATGCGCATGCGACGTACCCGCACATGGATACCAGTATAGCTGGGCTCCTAATCCATGCTGGTCGAAGGCTTACGCGCCCGCTCACGAGATCCACGCCTATCTAGAATCTGTCGTTGACAAGCATGACCTTCGAAAGTTTATCCGGTTTAATCAGCGCTGCGTTTCGGCGGTATGGAATGAGGAGAGTTCGCAGTGGACTACGGCGTTTCGAGATGAGAGATCCGACGAGGAGACTGTTGTTAGGTCTGATGTGTTGATTTATGCTGTGGGGAGATTGAATGACTATCAGACTCCGTCGTTCGAGGGTCAAGATGAATTCAAAGGTCGAGTGTTTCATACAGCGGCGTGGCCAGAGGACGTGGATGTTCGTGGGAAGCGGATTGCTGTGCTTGGGAATGGGGCGAGTGGGATTCAATGTGTGTCTGCTCTTCAGGATGGTATGCTGCCTCCAAGGTTAGGAGATTAGGTGCATTTACTTACTGTGGTGATAGAAGCTCTGGGGCTTCTCAATTTCGCGCCACACCCGACGTGGCTTGGGCCTGAGCCTTTCGTTGAGAATCGTGAATGTAAGTGTACTGTTCAAAATAGTATGAGACAGAGATACTCACTAAAGGTAGATGACGAGCAAGAAAAGCTCAAGTTTCGTAGAAACCCCAAGGCCTACCATGGCTTTCGAATGGGTCTAGAAAAGGCTATGTTACCAGCCTTTGCATTTCTCTGGAAGGATACGCCCCCAAGCAGAAATCTTCGTTCTCGTGCGGGATCCTACGTGGAATCCAAGGTTGAGGATCCGGAATTGCAACAGAAACTGACCCCAGACTATACCCCCGGATGCCGTCGCTGGGCCCCCGGCGAACAATACATAACTGCAGTACAACAGCCACATGTCCATTTAATAGAAGATCATGTAGCTGCTCTCACAGAGAATGGATTACGCACTGAGGAAGGGGATGAATATGAATGCGACATGGTCGTCTGCGCAACAGGATTCAGTCTTTACAACCCGCGAGTTCCTGTCGTCGGACGCAACGGTATTACTCTCTCCGATTGCTGGGGGACAGATGGCCCATGTGAGAGTTATATGGCAGTGATGGTAGCATATTTTCCGAATTTATTTGGTTTGTTTTCGTGCGGCTGGAAGTTTTTCGGGGATGTCAAACTGACGATAACCTAGCATTCCATCCACCCAACTGCCCGGTAAACGGTTCCGCATTCCCCGGTATCGAACGAACAGCAGATTATATCGTTAGAGTCATTCACCGTCTTCAAACCGATCGTCTCCGGTCCGTGAGCGTACGACCCGAAGCCCAACGGGACTTCAACAGATGGGTCCAATCTCAGATGTCGAACATGGTGTGGTCTGATTCGTGCGATTCGTGGTGTATGTTTTACTTTCCTGTAAACACCTATAACTGCTAACCAACATCTCTAATCTAAGACAAGAACAAAGATGGGAAGATTATTGTTCCCTGGCCTGGAACTACCAATCACTACTATGCTGCTACGGCGATCATACGCTGGGAAGACTTTGACTTGGAGTTCAAGGATCCGACACAGAAATATATGAGCTTTGGGAATGGAGTGACGAAAGATGGCTTCAAGTCGGACTCGATACCTTGGGTGCAACCACCGGGCTATTTAAACTGATGAAGATTTCTGGGTAGTTAAATTTGTATATCGTGTCTTTGATAGCTTCTGTGTGCATTATTATCATAATTACTAATTTATGCAGATTATGCACTACTCTATAAAGTCATGTCATGATTGCGTACAAACTATGCTACAACCATTCCTTTAGGAAAATGCTTTCGTTCAAAATAGGATCATCTAAACGTCATTGAGCCCCTACGGTTAAGCAGCAACCTGCTAGTCGGGGCACATAAAGTCTTGAATGAAGTGATCGGGAACGAAAACTATCTCACACATCAACAAATTCAAAACCACAACATCGTACAACTGGATATAAGGATAAAATGATAACCAGACATGAATCCTGTCCAGACGGCATAGCTGGCCATTATTCCGGCGCTATGTTCAAGGACGCACCTGCTTTCCAAGATCATATCCTCCAACAAATTTCGGAAAGAAGACAACATGGAGATGGCATTCACACCGACTTCATGTATACGGACATCGCTCCTTCCTGGGCGGAGTCCGCGTACAGCACACTTGAAGAAAGAAGACTCATATGCTTGTAAGCTAGAGAACTCCCTACCGCTATAGGTGATATAAAAATCTGAAATCTTCGACTTGATCAAAGTAAAACATACAATCCTATCACCCAGGTCCTGAAATTACGAGCAATGGCAACTCCACTTCATAACGCCGACCAGGAGTGGTTCGCCCGTTCGCGAGAGATATGGCTGAACACTGGTGTTCTCAATCCAGTCGAGCGGAATATGCTCTTGGCCTCAGCCAACACAAGTAGGGCTCTTGCTACTGATTCTAGAACCGCTCTGAACGTTCGAAGAATTTAGGCTTACCGGATACCCATTCAGGGGAATGGAAAAGGCCCCGAATGTTGGAGTGCAATTGAACGGCACCGGGCTACCGAGAGTAGTGCTTGAGTCAGCGTTCTCGCAAAGTGGGGAGAGTCTTCGGAATGACATGCTCGATTGGCTCTTAGGTGGAGAGAATGCTGTCCAGGTTGTCATTCTGGTCAACTGGAGAGCATCACAGGATACTATGCTTATAAGAGGTGATGTAGATCTCTATACATTGGGGAGGGATGGGATACCCCGACTCCAAGAGCGCCAGGTGAGGAGGCATACCGGCCTTGCGCTTCCTTGCTGTGCTAACAATATCCGTAGCAAGTTTACCCGAGGCCCCCAGGACCACCTGGTGGTCAGACACTTCGCCTCACACGGAAGATGTTCTTTGGGAATAATATTGGATCAGGGCGCAGCCCCAATGAAGCTTTTATGATGGAGTTGGACCAGTTGCGAGCTGTAGCAGCCATGGTAATGCCCAGTATGGGCTATCAGGCGGCATAGATAGCGGAGCATAATAACAGTCAATGTCATGACAATGAAGAGCGACTTTTAACAGTAGCAGTGACTGCCGTGAAGTATGGATCCCTGTTATATGTTCGTTAGTACATAGGAAGGACTCGCCTACCTTGCTTGCACCTCTCTATGTCAACATCAACCTTATTCCTCATCGGGCTCAGCGTGTATAAAATATTGACAATGTCTCCATCCGCCAGACAAGAGAAGCTAAATAACGGATGAAAGTTCACTTTAGACGGTAGCTCTGAACTTCTGGAATGACCGAATGGCCCAAATGATAGTCATTTCCAGGCGTATTGCTCAAATACGCACTGTCTGTGCCAATACTCGTATGCGCGCAAGACTGGAGAGGGCATAATCTCTGTAGAGCAAAGCACTGACCCGATGGGAGAGGTTGAGGGTCGTCCAGTACAAGGAGGGTGGGTGTTTACTTTCCTAGTGCGCCCTCGGATGTTAGCTAGCATGATATATGTGCATACATGTAACTTCTGAGGCATTTATTTGGACACTAGTATATCTCTGGTCAGCACTTGTTAACAAAGGATGTCACTTAGGACTTCAGATACACGGAATTTCTAGAGCGAGCTTTGTGGTCTTTGACTCATGCTGGATGAGAATGGATCTGTCTGGGTCGCGGAAATATAATCAAGATTGCTGTGTATCACCGCGGATGTACGCTCCCTAGAATACTATATCCTGAACTTAAGGGAACAATTTAGAAGGGGAAGGTCCTTCTCTAAAGCGAGGTTACTGCTTGTATTTGCTCCTAAGGTTTCTGCTCATTTAATCCGAGAAAATCTGGTAAAGTGAAGAGTTTAGTCAAGATATCGTTGTAGTGCGTCGGGGACATACTATATTTAACGTTTATACTCGGTACCTATATGTGCCTCTAGAAAGGGAAGGCAAAGACTCCCCGCAAAAAGAAAGAAAAAAAAATAAAAAAAAAAGAGGAGGGAAGTTAAATAAAATTCAAGAAAACCTTACAATATGACATATAGATCTGATTCGGACAAGGAGCAAAACCAACTGATTAGTCTCTCAGTTTGCCCGGGCGGAGTAGGGCCTGTTAAAACGGGTACTTGACTAGAAGCAACTTTCCATATAACCTCGATTTGGCTACTATGAAGTGCCGGTGATCTTTGGTGGAGCGGACTACTACTTCTTCTGCGGGGTCAGATCCCTTGCAAAAGTGAAGCCTTTTTCACAACTTCATCCACGACTTCATTGGTCTGCTACGAACGGATATGAGGCAGTGCAAATAACTTCGAACACTTGGCAGGGGACCCACAAGACAGCTGACGGGAGTTTGTGGTAAGGCTGTAGAGTTGTGTCTCAATGCTTTGATTGGCCGTCTACCGCCTGGCACTATTATAGTCAATAGAAGATTGGACCGAGATACAGGCGGAAGAAAACTGCAGAACATAAATAAGAAAGCGACGTTCCGCAACCCTGAGGCGTTGCGCCAGATTGAGCGGTGAACCATGAAAAATTGCACCTAGACCTAGACAGAACCTGTCACCCAGAGTACGCCGGGAGTAGGAAGCAGACTATGCTAGTATGTCTAACTATACTAATGAAGTATTCCTTTATATAAATCTGGAAACCATGAGTCGATTTCTCTCTCCTCCCCTGCAAAACTTCTGTCATACATCTAGAATAGGGAAATAAATACCTTGACTCTACTTTGCTCGTTCACTCGTTCTCGCTTCCTATTGGTCAAGCTTCTGTCAATATATCATACAGCACCAGTATCAACAGTGTGCACTTGTCTATCATTTACGACTACTACTTTTGATAATGTCGGATGCCCCTGTTTCAACAAGTGCCAGTTCGTTCTATGTTGTATCCTCGGATGGCCATGGCCACAATCATACCAATCGATTTCCAATGCACAACGGCCTCTGGCTCCTTGCGGATGATTTCAACATGGAGCCTTTGCCTCCAAACCCAGCAGTCATACCAGCCAGCCCGGTCCACTACCCACAATGGCAACTTGATGTTCCCTTACACGACGGCTCCATCGTTCCTCGACCCACTGTGAACCACGATCTAGAGATGGGCCTTAATTTGCGCATGCCGACAAGCGTCCAACCCAATTCGATCTCTACCGCTGGGTTTTCATATGGTTATCTACCCAAACACCACACTGGCGCCGCACACCCTTCCGGCTCAACCTCAGTCTATGAAGGCATAGCAAGAGACCGGTGCGAAGGATACCAAAGAAAGGTATGATAATCTCAACGTTGTGCCTGAAGGCTATGACCGCATTCGTAACACTTCTGCAGTGGAAAGAACCACCGACCTGCGCAAAGATGTAAATGGGAGGGCTGCACATCTACAAAATGTTTCAACCGTGAGGCCGACCTTCTGCGGCATGTTAAGACCATCCATATCGCGCCTCGGTCTTATAGATGCAATGTCGATGGCTGCTTCAAGTCCTTCAATACGGACGATAATCTAAAGGAGCATATACTCAGGGTGCATGACTGTGATTGTTAGGGAAATCGCCCTACCTTGTCGGAATGCATGTCCTCCGTGATTTGTTACATTTTTGGGATTTCTGTGTCTTCTTACTTCGCGATGACGTTTTCAACTTATGGATTTCTGGGTTATCTCAAATATTCACTACCATTTCTAGAATGGTAGATCTGATTCTCACCAATACCCACTATGCTTTTGTGATATTGAAGGTTTAGTTTCTGCGCTCTCGAGGAAGGGTAATTGTTACAGGTGAGTCTAAGATTGCCCTGAAGCCACGCAAATTCTAAGCTATATGGGAAGTATACTTCCTTTATCCCACTGTTTTCTGTGAACCATCATTGTCCACAAACTATCTTCTACAGTTATATGAATGTTCTCTACTACTGCTGATGACCTCGGCACAGTAATGCTTGCGTAGAGGGTCTATGGGTAGAGCTAATCAAACTGAGCCTGAATTAATTGACACTATGGGGCTTCTAAAAAGCTGTATTAGAGCGCGAGAGGCTCATAGCCATTCATTTTTAATGGGCAATGTATGGATCCGCTTGGAAGACAATAAGATAGGGGCTTTTTTATGCTAAGGTATAATTAGTAAGCTAGATATAACAATAGATACATAAGTTGAAGTGATAAGTGGGCAACCTTATGTGCAACCACGTAAGATCTCCGGACGGAGATTTCAATTCGGAAACTTATAAGCATGAGGAGTACTCTGACGTAGATCGAACCATTCTGCTAAATGTGGAACAAATATTCCCACAGAGTGGGACTTCGGATATTGAGCGTCCAGCCAGCATTGTGTCCTTCCAAGTGGGGAGGATATTGGAAGACCGACCGGCTTAGTGGCACGATTATCAGTAATGTAATCTTGCCATGGTTGTATTTTCTCTGTGTGATACCAACAGGATACGGGTTATACCCTTTTTGTTCTCTGGATGATGTTATAGACGTAGACTGCGGGTTGTATGAGCACGGACATAGATGTGCTTGTGTGTAACATCGAGGGAGAAGCCTTTCGTCAGCAAGTAGGGATATGCCTCCCAGAAAACCTCATTATTCCGTGTAACTAGATAGCGAATCCGAGACTAGAATCCCGTATCCACCTTTTCCATACCAATGGAGCGGCATACCCTAGAATGTCCCGGTTTCCTTAGCCTCTTCCCTGCCGGGTTGGTGTGGAATACAGGCGTACAAAGACATAGGAATGTATCATGGTGTTCCAAACGCTAATGTAATCAGCCCCCGAATGCATACTATTTGTCTAGCTGATTCTCTTGTGGTGTCAATCTCAAAACAAAACCCGACGTCGGTTCGAATTCGAACTTCAGAGGCGAACGACGAGAAATTACGTTGTCGAGTTTTGCACTCATGCAGCAAACCGGCGCTCTTATCACACTAAGTTGGTACGACGTGAGCCTATAGAGTTAGGTGACTGCAAGCCCAATGTTGCCCTAAAACAACCCCGAACGAGAGAGATATCTTTTTTTGCGGACGGCGCTAGTGATGAATGTTGACCAATTCCTGTATAATGGTTTGGACACAGAGTCCTAGACCATAACTAACTTGATGTGAGGGCTCAGATGGCTAAATACTAACCTGGTATGGCGCAGTACGACACTAAGGTCAAAGGGGCCCTTGATAACTGCTCTCTTCCTCTTATAATGAACAGCGCCTCAATTAAAGAACGAACCACTGTAGGAGCTTAAAACCCTGCACTTATTCATTGAGGAAACAGCCGGGTCTAACAATTGGAAGTCGGATTTATAATTAGTATTTTCTCCCATCCCATAAATGTAGGTATTTGCGTAGAGAACTAGCAATGGTCCGCGCTCATAGTCATCATGAAGTTTCTGCTATGGGGAAGCTCTTGCGTGTTGCCTGTATATGCAAGCCTTATGGAACGTCATGGTTGTTTCTTGTCTAAGTTCTTTTCGCAATAATTCTCGGATTCATATCTTGGCAAGACGCCGCAGCGTTTGTACAACAGGAGAATAGTGAACTCGTCCACGGTCCGCATATGCAAGTAGATATACCATTTCTATCTGCGAGAGGCAACTGGTGGAGCCCTGAATACTGAATCCTTGAAACAAGGCCACCGTGGCTGAGTTTTGCAGAGCGAAACCAATCAGGGCAGCGGGCATGGAATGTTACACTACCCTCGAGGTGCCATAATCGAATGGAAGTTGGTAGAGCAGAGGGACATTCTATCCGGGCCGGGTGTAATATGCAGCTACCGAGGCAAAAGTGTTGTATGTCACACGAGGTAGGCACAGTCCTTTTGTGGATGGATGGGCAATGGTGTGGGATACTCCGGTATTCTATGTTATCATCTTGGATTCATTTTCCGGACTTAGTTGTATATAACCCGTTAGTTTTCCATTGTGGACTGGTATACAACATTTCCTCGGTATCCTTAATTTGATTTCCCCCGAGAGACAGTGGCCATTTACCGAGCAGCATCACTATACCTTACCTTTTATTCAAATTTCTTTCTGTTCAAAACGAAGTTCATGAAACTTTTCAATTCCTTCTCAAAATCTCCTAGTCTTATATACTTCTATTAGGCTTTGGCAATGCCTGTTGGTCGAAAGTCATCAGTTTCCATATCCCCAAACACTTTATCCACGCCCAGCCCTAACCCAGGTCCCGTCGGTCTTTCATTTGCGAACAATGATATTGGCTCGTTGCCGAACAACTTCGAGGAAGAATTCTTGCCATATCATGAAGGCTCCGAGCAACATACCTTGCTCCACAGTCCTTCCGTGCGGTCCTACGTTACATGGGATGATTTGTCTATGACCCCCGATACCACAATGGGACATGAAATGCAATTTGGTTTCAATTCTTCCATTGACGTTGAATTGAGCCCCAACCAGTCGGGCCTGGGTCCAGACGTTCACCCTGGATTTCAGGGCCCGGACATGGTTCCTGAGAATCTTAGCTGGCATCGTCAGGGAAATACCATTTCTTGTGGCGTCAAAAGTCGCCAGAGCCATCTCCATCCCAACAACCTTCTGAATTACCCTTTTATTCCACTGGGCCCAATTAAGGATGATATCCCTGGGGCTGAGATTCATATCATTAATCCTACCATGAGCAAAAGGTTCAATCCAGATTTAAAACTACAACTTTAACATCTCGCGCTAACGGTGGAATAGTAGCAGAAAAGCCCATCGCAATCTTAGGTGCACATGGAAAGGGTGCAAGTATAGGAAACCGTTTAACCGTTTTGCCGAGTTGGAAAGACATGTCAAAACTATTCATCTCTTTCCTTATTCCTATCGATGTACTTATGGGGGTTGTCTCAAGCTTTTCAATCGGAAGGATAATTTGAAGCAACACATGATCAGAAGACATGAGATGCCCTTTTAAGGATCAGATTCCACTTGGCCTGTTTTCTTCGTTTCATGGAGCGCAGTTTGTCAGTATAGCGTTGACACAAACAATACTACAGAATGCTTCTCTACATTATGAGTCATTGAGTTGTAGCGTTCAGAAGTTAGTTTGTTACTTGGAAGGGTGATTTTGCTTTCAAAAATACGCAAAACAATTCCCACTGAGAGAGTGTGAAAGGTTAGTGCTATCCCAATAAATAGAACTGTCGACTGTGCCTCAATGAACGATTTGAACCATGCGCCCGTTTCCCCCCCATTTTTTTCTTCCACCTTTTCTTCCCTCCCTTTCTTTTGCCATAACTTTGAACCGCATGAATAAAAAGAAAATAACAAAAGAAGAATACCACTACAACAGTCGACAGTGCTATGCTCCCACACTACAGGACATTGATCTTGAATTTCTCATAGGAACCGATATAGCTCTGGCAGTTAACAGTTCCAGCACCGCTAGGTCCACCCTGGCCGGTGACATTCTCCATGCGCAGATAGGCATTCGGGAATTGCACAGAAGCAATAGCCTTGGTGCCATCTTCCTGGTTCTCGAAGCGGAATTTCTCCCAAGAATAGCTGCCCCACCTGATAGTCCTCAGTCAGTACCGACCAATCTAGTATAGAACAGGGGATACGCACTGGCAGTTAACCTTTCCGGCACCCTGGGCGTAGGTCTCTCCAGATTTAACATCGGAGCCATCCATGCGGAGGTAGACGTTCGGGAAGGCAGAGGACATGATAGAGAAGGTATTGTCATCGGGGTAGTTCACGATGATGAGAGTCTCGTACGTGCCAACATAGTTCTGGACGTTGACAGTACCGCCACCAGAATCAGAGTATTTGGTGACGTCCCGTCCGTCCATGCGGAGGAAGGATCCGGGGAATTTCTGGGACTCGATGCTGACACGCAGCATGTTGGTAGTGGAACCGGAAGACATTGTGGAGGTTGGAAAGTTTGATGATGGTTTGATGAGAGTTGAATGCTATTGGAAGTGCTTGAGTGGGCAAGGGTTTTGTTCTGCTAGTGGATAAGGGCTCTTGGTTCTGGGTTCAACGTCTCTATTTATGTTATTTATGTTGAAGATAACCGCTACTAGCCGTAGATGATATCAATCTCGGTACAGTAGACTGACGTGAACCATACAGCTGCTGTGGTCAGTAGCGCTTATTCTTCTTTCTATTGCTGACCGCAACCATGCAATTGTAGGGGAATTACATTTGCCTTTGATCCTGAGGCGTACGTTACTCTTACTCCGCTAACAGACCATTTGGTGGTACCGGACGTCCGATCACGAAACAAGTATATCATATGAATTTAGGACTCTCCTTTGCCGCTTATAGAAACAGTCTCTATTCTTTTATACTGTTAAGACTCTTCCTCGGATAGCCGCAGTCCAATAAGCAGTAACTTCACCACTTGTATCTTATACTTCCAACAAATCGAATTGGAAAGGCTGAAAGAGAGACTACATCATGTTACAGCACTAACACACGCAACCTGCATTATTAATGTCATGAGACTCTGGAAGGTGGGAATCCAATGAAACGTGCGGGGGTAGTCTTAGTAAGTAGGGTTGCAACAGTATTACACCAATCCCCGGATTTGGAACAAACCTCGGAACAACACTGATGGCAATATCTTAACAGAATCAACAATACCATGACAGTTCTATCTGGGCTACCACCATTGAGGATCCAGAAAAAGAACCAGAAGTGCGTGATAATTGAATATGTGGGGCCCCGTGGCCTAAAAGCATTTGCATATTATGGATTAAGTAGTTAGTTCTCAAAAAAAGAATCAGCCTCGGAGTATTTAGCAAGACTAATCAGCTTCAACAAAACTGCTTTGTTAATCGTATAATCTCCCGAAATATAGCATCAAGTAACATTCTGCATACTCTGATGTCTGCTGCTGAGATACAAACCTTGCGGAGCTCAGCCCAAGATATCCTTAGACTTGGATTTCAATGCAAACTTTGCCGACATGTTTCTGGTCAGATAGATACTGATAAGCTTCACGGACCTCTCCAAATTTGGAGATGCGGTTGTCCACGACGGGGTGAATTTTATTTGCCTCAACGGCACGGTTCGTCTCTTCAAACTGTTGTCTGGACCCCACACCAATACCTCGGACAGTACAAACGTTCAATAGAGTGTCGACGAGGGATGGCTGGTCAAGAGCTGAGGAGCTTGCGACAAAACCGACCATGGAGATAACGCCGTCTATCTTGATCGCTTTGAGGGACTACATGTCTGCGGTTAGAAACATTCTTCCGTCAAATGGCTGACAGTATAAACTCACCTCTTTCATTGAAGCTGGCCCGGCAACTTCTACAATATGCGTCACTCCTTCATGGTTAGAAGTAAGGCATCTCAAAACTTCCCCCCGCCCGGGACATTCATTATAATTTATGATTTCATACGCCCCCACTTGTCTAAGGAGACCAGCCTGCTCCTATGAAGATGTCTTAGCAATCACCTTCGCACCCGATGTCTTGGCGAGCTGTAGAAATGTGTGAGCCAATGTGTAAGGACGAAAGCGGAGTACATATCTGCACAGCATATATGCCTTAAACTAAGGGCAGGTTCGGGTGGGGTCCAGCGGGGAACCCGATCAACTCTATTTGCGGGGTCTATCAGATATCTGTGTGGTAGAGTTTCTACTGTCACCACATGCAACCTTGAACAGAACGAAGTTTATCCAGAGCATGCCACTTCGGTAGCGTATTAAGCGGGATACCGACGCTTTTTCAGTCTCTTCGGTTTTTCGGGCTATTGACGCTCGGCTTTCTTGCGTGTAACTTCACATTAGCTTCGTGGAGACGGGAAAATGTGGGGGACCGCTATATTTAGTCTACTACCTATAACCGCGACCCGTAAACAAGCCATGTGAGGATCACGACAACTCTATAACTGACAGATATCCGTCGAATTTGAGTTTAGTCAATAGCAGTGTTATATTCTTCACCGCAGGACACGGTCACTTACAACTTGGTAACCACTCGACAGGTCCAGGCATTTGGGTGGCTCCGAATGACTAGCTGGCTGTCCGCCGAGCCGCTGATGATCTTAGTTAAGATATTTAAATATTAGTAATTTTACCGGTATTCATCTATATTTTCTTTTTTTCTTTTTTATTCTCTTAATATAGGGTAATATATTAAGTCAATATTAGCTAAGAGACTGCTGAGTAGATTATAGCGATTATAATTTTTAAGTACAGTTACTAAGCTGCTCGGTTGATATACAGAGTCTTTGATTCTCTTTCTTGTTTAACTAGCCTGTAGTTGATTCCACAAGCAAAACCACACTCGGGGCACCATATCTTGCGCTCGAAGACTGTATATTGCTTGGGAAAGACTATACACTTCTATTAACTGCTGATATTTCTGGTACTGAGATAAGAGCTAGGTATCTATAGATTTATACTATCTGAGACTGAGATTATTCAATACTCTATAGAATATTATAGCAAAGACTTTTGGTTATTTTTTGAATTGAGTAGAACAGACTTTCAGGGATGATATATCTGAAATATAAGTATTTATAGCTCTAATTTGCCAGAAACCAAGCTTTTTTTAGCTGTTAGATAAGAAAAAATAATTGGTTATACTAAAAGAGAAAAGTAATTTTATAGTTAGCTTCTATTTATTTATAATAATTATAGTATTTCTATTCTCCGATTATCTTATAATTCGCTTGTTTTACTGGTTATCTATTACTCTAATCTAATAATAAGTATATAAGTTAGACAAGGTCTTATGTATACTTTATCTATATAGTAAGTCTATCAAAGAGGACAGGTATATATCAGAGAGGTCTGGGCGTAGAAATTCTTCCACCAACTCCCCAATGACGCCCCTTGGCATGCTTGCAATCAATTTGTGGTCTTCTAACGACGTCCCGAGCGATGGTATCGCAGGGGCAAGAGGTTAAGCACCAGAAGCATCAAAATTTGGCTGGACTCTGCTCCTTCACTAAAAACGCGGCCACCTAGACTTTATTTTGTTGAATCACTCCTTGGCGTCAAGTGGACTCTGCAGATTGTCTCTGTTTTCCTTGGAAATGTTCACCTGGAGTATATGCCCACCATTTGTGGCATGCCAAATAGCATGTTGGTCAAACTGAACAAAGTGTCAAAGTTGCGCAATCATCCACAGCAACAAGATGTTAGCCAATCCACAGTTGCGATAGCCACCGCCGATATCACTGTGGCTACCTAGGAACCAACATTGTTTTAGGGCTTGTCCTGGCCAGAAATGAACCAGATTGAAGGTTTGAAGTGATATCGCTTTTTGTTGAGGGCAAGCGCCTGAAATGCATTTTCAATGTTGGGACTAACCTTGTAATTGATGAAATGGATTTTTTAGTTTACCTATATAGAACCCCTCTTGGAAAAGAATCCCAAGAACTTTACGGTATCCCACACTGCGCAAACTTTGATCTTAACATGTCTTCAAAGGACTCTTTCATCATTCTTTAATTCAGTAAGGGCTTGTCCTCAACACTTCTGATATTTCACTACAAGCTCTTAAAAATACATTTCAAGCTTTGTGGCCTCTGTGCCCCCATCAAGCCCATGTTGTGATATCTTCTGGGATTCCCAGATCCTGAAAAGCTTAGGAAGTTTCATATTCAACTAAGCGCTCCCAAGAATGCCAACATCTATTGGCTAATAATGCCAAGCAATATTCCAGTAAGTTTCTTAAATTTTCCAGTCGATTCCTGCCATGGCCTTCGGAATCTAGAATTACAACGTGCAATTTATGCGTTCTTACCTCTACCAGTCGACCCATTGTGGAGGCTACCTGCGAACGTCATGCCTGCACCAATGCCAAGATAATACAACACCTGTTCATAGCAATGCCCATCGCTTGAACCACGTACAGCAATGAAACTCTGAATTCGGCTTACATTTGTAAGAGATTACTTGCTTCTCAATCATTCCAGGTGCCGTCGCAGCAAATAATTATTCGTCGGTGCTGTGTCTTATCTATTAGGCGTGTGTGCTTAAAATCCACGCCAGGAAGGGGAATGCTTTGTTCATTCATGGATGATAACTGAGACTTCGTGAATATAGCAAGGAATTAATTCCGAATAATCGCTGAGACTTTTAAAGGTCACAAGTACATGCTGTGAGGTCATCATGATACATTGAACAATGTTGGCATATGGATTCCGCCAAAGCAGCTCTAGGTGGACGGCAGTTAGCCGCTGGCAAAACTTTCATATTCAGGAAAAGTGTTAGGGTTACTTACCGGATCGGATCAGAAGATCCGATAAACCATCTGAGGGGGCATAGAAGAAACCTGATGTTAGACCACTCAATTGCGCGTGACCGTGTTTCGAAGATGACCCACAAATTCAGACAAATCTAGGGCGGTCTAGACAATCTAAGCTTTGCTGTTCGGTCATAAGACGTGCGCTTATTCTCAACGGAGATGATTGGACCAGCCCTTATTTTCCCTGGGTTTGAAAGCCATAGATTCGGATTATCCACATATTGAGTTCCGCGGAACCAAGCTTTCAAAGTTAGGGAGGCGTGAAGGACCCATTATCAATTGATGCATAAGACGACGTCTCAGCCCCGGTAGCTATGATCCCATGCGAAGGACTGAAGAAACCTCCAAGAGCGGCCCTGATACCGATGACTGTCTGATATGTCTTTGAAAGAAAAAAGGCCTAGATCGCGATCGTCCACTCGTGGACAGCTTGCACAATCTCAGCCATCTCTGGAACAGCCTTCTGGACTATCTGAGTCTGGAAAGAAACATCTGATTATTCTATGTGATGGTAACGTACATCGCTCTCCGCATTAGGCGATCTTTTGGGAGGACGAGTCCTGAAGTGTATTTTTAGAAACCCCTCATGGCCTCACTAGCAGCCGTGACCACCCCCCTTCGATCGTGTCCCGCTTCTCCCGTGTATTAAGCCAATATGCCGAGGCCAAACGCGAAGATGGAAAAATTGAACATATATCGCAGATCGTGTATTACCAGACGCTTCATGGCACAGGGGATGATGAATTGCGGGGTGGTATTATCACAACCACACTTTATACTCTGGCTCGGCAAAGTCAGTTAACTTGTCTACTGCTTAGGAGATACCGGATCTAGCGTTTTTGAAAACATAAGATCTGCATACTCGTTCATTGCGAATAATTACAGAAACGGCGACAAGATATATTTTTTTGGCTTTTCTAGAGGAGCCTACACTGCATTAGCCATAGTGTCACTTATCACCTCCATGGGCCTTCTTCCGATCAGCGGAAGAGACCAATTCGACACATTGTACAACGACTTCTTCCACAAGGGTATGCTACATTACGATGAACGCCAAAGAAAAAACATTTCCCTACGTCAGCTGGAGCCTTACACTATTGAGATCGTCGGCCTGTGGGATACAGTTTCATTCAATAACTGGAGTGGGAAAAAGATCGCACTGCACGATAATTATTTACCAATCCAGGTCAAATACGGCTTTCAAGCATTGGCTTTGGATGAACAAGAATGGTCAAATAAACCAGTCCTTTGGAACGAACGAGAACAGAGAAATTATCAGAGCTATTTGTTACAAGTCTGGTTTTCGGGTGACCATTTGGACATTGGAGGTGCCAAGGAAGACTCCCGGCTATCAGATATTTCTCTTATCTGGATGATTGATCAATGCAGCACGCATGGTCAACTATCATTCAATATCGATGGATATCTTAGGGCACCGAATCCCATCGATATAAACTATCCAGTCAGCTTTGCCCATCGAGCCGACCCATACTATCCAGCTATTCCAGGAGCCGGATGGGAAACCAGAAAGGGTCCAGTTAGGAGCCGGCGTGCTGCTCGCATTCTGCCGTACTCAACTCGACATCCCCTCGATTACCATCCTGAGCGAGGACCAACCCATGAAAGCCTCCATGCTTCCATTTATCATCGTTATTTGCCCAGCGTGAACCAAGCCGATGCAGTCTCATGGCCTTGCAAGCCATTACACTTTTTTCCCAGCAATAATACTCTAGTGACACGAAAATCCGGAAAATCCTTGCCCGTGGCCAAATTGGGCAATTTGGAAATGGCACTCATGGGGAGATTCTCTAACTGCCTTGACCCCGATGACTCTACCTCCGACTACTTACACACATTGCTGGGCACAATCAAACTTCGCACATTCAACCACCAGCCCAAAATGCCCCATACGGCCTTAGATATGTCGGATTCTCTGGCGCAATGCACGGAAAGAGAGACACTCTACGCCGACGGGGGACCTAAAAGGCTCAGAACTGTGTTGGAGCGCATTAGCAATTTATTCGATATC